TGTTGGGTTTTTTTCTCTGTATCTATGAAGCGCCTTGAGGCGACTTATGTTGTGATTTGGCGCTATATAAATAAAATTGAATTGAATTGAAAATTGAATTGATGTTGGGAGGTTTAGGTTTAGGTTAGCTTAGGTGACGAGCTGAAAAGTGTCGGGGATAAACAGGCAACGCGGCTTTGTGTACAGTTCCAATTAAATCTCCTTGATCCCCTTTTTAATGTGTTCCCCTTTACTCACAGGTTCTGCATTTTGTAGAAGGAGCTTCACAACTGATTTTTAATGGTGGTTTTCCAATTTTCCAAATTCATAGTAATGATTTGCTCCGAAGGAAGGCATTCCTTCAGATGAGCCTTTTTGACTTTTTTGTTATTAAGTACTGACAAACACATTGTTGCTCATTTTCATTATTTGTTTCTCCAGGGTCATGTCATGGTCCAGGGAACATACAGTGAGCTGCAGACCTCTGGCCTGGATATTGTGTCCCTGCTGAGAAGTGATGCGGAGGCACATTCAGTTGGGTCATGTTCGGTTGACCCAGACAAATTGTCTTTACGCAGCCAGTGGACGATTTGCTCACATGGGTCACACTGTTCTTCCAGCAGCCTCCTGCTACCAGACAGCAGCTGCACTGATCAGCTTCATGTAGGTATATTTCCAAAAGATTAGATTAAGAGTCCCCACATAAATGGCAGCATTTTGTAGTCACTGAATTACAAGGATGGACAGAAGTAGAAATGAATAGTTTGGGTTAAAATAGACCTGCAAGTCTATTATCACTAAACTTATTTTATTGTTTTGCAGGTTGAAGTTGCTCAAACTATTACAGAAGAAACTCGAGCTGAAGGAAATGTTAGCGGCCATGTTTACCTTAAGTACTTCACAGCAGGCTGTAACACTTTGGTGTTAATGGTCATAATACTGCTCAGCATAATAGCTGAGGTAAGCCCCGACCCTACAACACCCTTCCTGCACTCTTTCTGTCTCCAGGTGTTACCTGTCTGTATTAACTGTTATCAGTATTAAATCCCTCACTGTACAATCATGTGGAAAAGTCATAGTGACTCTAACCCAGGGGTGGGCAATCTCAGTCCACGAGGGTCGGTGTCCCTACAGGTTTTAGATCTCACCTTGGGTCAACACACCTGAATCACATGATTATTTCGTTACCAGGCCTCTGGAGAACTTCAGGACATGTTGAGGAGCTAATTTAGCCATTTAAATCAGCTGTGTTGGTTCGAGGACACATCTCAAACCTGCAGGGACACCGGCCCTCGTGGACTGAGATTGCACACCCCTGCTCTAACCTGACTTAACCTTCCCACCCTCCCACACATTTCATGCAACTTGGTTTCCTCATGCTGTGTTTCAAAAATTGATCTAAAGAGAGGTCCGTTTCAACAGGTTGCGTATATCCTGCAGGACTGGTGGCTGGTATATTGGTAAGAACTTTACCAATGTGGATATTTTTAATGGCAAATACAGTATGCAATAGCTTAACTTTATACTGTTCATTTGACAGTTTTTTTTTTAAATGAAATTAGATCAGTTATCATTTCGTGTGTACCTGATTGAATTGTCTTGTCATCTGACAGGGCAGGGGAGGAGTTTTCTAACAGCACAGCCACTGCTGTTAGCGTGGACAGTGGAATGGATGTTACTAGCTCATTTCGAAAGTTTGATCTCACTTTTTACCTCAGTATTTATTCAGGTAAGCCTATAGTTATAGTAATACCTATAGTTCTTGTTAGAGTCTTCAGGTCTAATATCTAATATAGTCCTGCTGTGTTTACTTTTAGGTTTGACAGCAGCAGCTGTGGTCTTTGGTTTTGCCAGGAGTTTGGTGATATTTCACGGGCTGGTGAGATCAGCTCAGACTCTGCACAACAGCATGTTTAGTGCTGTTCTCCACACCCCGGTTACCTTCTTTGATGTCAACCCCATAGGTGAGGCCTACACAGAATGTATTTTAAATTTAAGAAAAAGCGTTGAATTACATCAGGGTATATCCTGCCTTATGCCTTTGACCGATTGGGAGTTTTGCCTATAGTTTTACAAATAACCCAGTCTATTTCTACCAGGAAGAGAACTGGAGTCAAAACACATCCCTGACATATTCCAGTGTTGTCTGAGTTCTCCAAGATGACATTGGCCTTAAACCTCTAAAAAAAGGTCTATTAAGTTCAGTTCAATCCAGTTTTATTCATACTTGGCACTCCAAGTTAGAACAGCCACATAAAGGTGCTTTGGGAGGGAAAAACTCTCTTTTAACAGGAAGAGATTCCTGGTAAAACCAGGCTCGGGGAGGAATGGGGATTTTCCTCCCCACTTTCACCGAGGTGCTTGTCATAAGGCAACGTTTCAATGAATGGTGAAAGCATTGATTTGTATGGTGTAAAGCTTCATGTTCAGAACATAGAC